CTGTTATTTACACTCAAATTGATCGATGGTTGTATCGATTATATTGTGGTATTCTCAATTTCTTTCCCATATTTCAACTTTACATATTTATATCACTTTATCAAAACAGTTGCTTATCACTGACCACAAATAACTGATCATTAATCATGTGGATGTGATTGATTGATTTCTACTTTAAGTAATTTATTTGATCAATTTTCTTCGCATTATTTTTATTCTTATTTGAAGAATGCGGATTGAATTTCGAATAAATGAAAAAAAATTTTCGCTTCCTAAAAGAATTAAAAATTCTGCAAATCATATCGAAGATTTTGGATAATGAACCATAAGAAAAATGATAAACCACTTACAATCTACTGATAATCAGTCGCTGAAATATCTGTTGAATATGCAGTGAGAAAATGATAAACCACTTACAATCTACTGATAATCAGTCGCTGAAATATCTGTTGAATATGCAGTGAGAAAAATGATAAACCATTTACAATCTACTGATAATCAGTCGCTAAAATATCTGTTGAATATGCAACGAAGCAAACAAGCCCCCTCTTTATTTTTGATTATCATATGACCTATTGTTTATATCCCATAATTCCCAATAAACGAATTATTCAAAGTCTACATTTGAACAATATGAGGAAGCGAATACAAAAAGCACTATTGATTCAGTGCGGAATAGCGGATGTCTTGTCTGAATGAGCCAGGATATTCCGCATAATTCTCTTCCGCATTTAGAAATTCTCGTACTAATGGAATCCGAATGACACTCATTTGTTCAAGATTATCCAGTATTTTTTTTTTTAATGAATGTGGAGAGTCAGATCTTAGAGTATTGATGAGTAAATTAAATATCACTTATGATTCATTGAAATTCATTAACAAATTTTTATATCTATCACAGCTAAGAATATGTGACTAATATACAATACGAATGATTCATACGAATCATTTATTTAGTCCATTGATTATAGAATCTTCAATAAAAAATAGAATTTTAAAAAATAAAAAGAAAAACCAAAAATAGATTGAGGAAGTATTTTGAGATTCGATGACAAATGTTCTCTCATATCGTTTAATGACCATTTAATTTTATTCCTTTTTACGTCTATACCGTATTTTATATTTACGAATCTTGCAGATATTTTAAATTTTTAATTCTTATATTCTGGAATTTATGTCTTTTTATAAATGAATTATTATCATTACTATAGTTTTTGGAAATTTAATTCTTAAAAATAACAATTATTACCCTTATAATTTCATCTGCTTTTCAATATTTCAAACTATCTTCTCATAGATTCGTAACGAATGGGAACTATTGGAAGTATAAAATAGATTTAAAAGTTTATTAAATACAAATTTAATTCAATGTATCGGGGAAGGGTATTGCATTTGATGATACAATTTGTTGTAGAAATTTCATCTACAACAGATAGTTTACACAATATGTATGAAGCAGTATGATTTATATCATCGATTTATGTAAAGATATTGCAAATATTGATTTATTTATAAACTATAAATAGAACATCCTTTCTTTGAATTTATAAATTTTGAATCTAAAAGTTTTTTGAATCATAAATTCATCCGATAACCATTAACTATTATCCTTACTGTTATAGTCTAATCAAATTTATGGTTGAGGGAAAGTTTGAAAAAAATGCTACAGAAATTAGCATAATCTGCGTAAGTGAATAATTGAATAAAAAGATAAAAAAGCAAATAATATTGTATGAGTTTAAAAAAAAAAGTAATTTTAAAATTGGAATTTTCATTTATAAAATTTTACAAAACTTCAAAATGTTTGGAAAAATTTGAATGAAAAAGCAAATTAAAATTTTACAGGTCCTATTTCTTATCCTTTTCGCTGTATTTGGACAATATTCAAATCATGCAATGCCTGGTGGTACAACAAGCACAAACTTCATTAACACCAATTATCCATGTTTGTTTTACTTTTTTGCATCAGACTAAATGTGGAAATATTTTAATTTTGAAATTTCAGGATGAAAATATTCTAATTTCAAGATTGAAATCGAAATTCATCAAATGCGCAACTAATATTACAATTGCGCATTTTTATCCAGTTAATGAGTTATAATGTAAAAATTTGAAATATTTCAGTATTTCAAGATGTTCACATGATGACATTGGTTGGTATGGGATTTATAATGGTTTTCTTACGACGTTACGGTCTTGCTGCTCTTTCAATTAACCTTTTGTTGACCTCACATGCTATTCAATGGGCACTTATTGTACGTGGTTTCTTCTCTCATGAATTTGCCACCATTGGACGTTTTGCAATTTCCATCCTTGAGTAAGTATATGTGCCATTTTTATTAAATTCATTTAATCCTTCATCATTAATATTTGTTAATGTGATATTGCCCCCTTACTTTTATTTACCTAAAAAATAAAAAATAAATTAAATTTAGTTTAATCACTGCTGATTTTGTTGCTATTACCGTTCTGATTACAATGGGAGCTGTTTTGGGCAAACTTACTCCGGTGCAGTATATGGTCATGTCAGCTATCGAAGTACCAATTGCTGTTGCTGTTGAACATTTCATCTTACGTTATCTGAAGGTTCTTGTTTTTCAAATCATATGAACAAATAATAATGATTGTTAAATAGCTTCGATTAAAGTTTCAGTTTTATCATCTTATCACTAAGTTTCAAATAACAATGACTGTTAAATACCTTTGATCAGAGTTTCCGTTTTATCATTTTATCATTAAGCTTGAAATAGTAATGGTTGTTAAATACCTTCGATCAGAGTTTTTGCTTTATCATTTTATCATTTTCTGTTTCTTTTATCATTTTATCATCATACTTTTTATATCTTAAAAAATATTTAAAATAAATTTAGCTTTCTTTGATAACATGAATTACTTTTGCTAGAAAGTAAAAATTCAACATATAGGTAATTGATATTGGCCGTTCAATGGTGATCCATTGTTTTGGGGCATATTTTGGCTTGGCTGTTGCAAAAGTAATCAACAAAAAGGAAATGATTTCACATCAGCATGAGGGTTCCAGTTACAATTCTAACATCTTTGCTATGATTGGTTTGTCACATTCTTCTTTTTTTTTTTCTTTTATCTTTCAGTTTTAGTTTGAAGCAAAAATGGATGCTTATTACAGCTTGTAATATATTTTAAACCAAAATTGAACAAACTTCTTAGACTTAGATTACTAGATTTAGAATTAGACTTATATTTTAAACCAAAATTAAACAAATTTTTTGGACTCAGACTACTAGATTTAGAATTAGGCTTATATTTCAAACCAAAATTGAACAAATTTCTTAGACTTAGATTACTAGATTTAAAATTAGACTTATATTTTAAACCAAAATCAAACAAAACTTAAACTACTAGACTTAGAATTAGACTTATATTTTAAATCAAAATCAAACAAACTTCTTACACTTAGACTTAAACTGGTGCTATTATCTCTTTCAAAGTATTATCAATATTTCTGGATTCCATCTTTTTTTCAGGTACCTTATTTCTATGGGCATTTTTCCCATCATTCAATTCAGCTCTAGCAATTCCCGAAGATTCTCGACACCGTGCTATCCTGAACACCTATTTAGCGCTTTGTTCTTCCACTATTTGTACTTTTTTGATCAGTCAACTTTTCGATCACGAGCATAAGGTTTTGTGATATTACATTTTTTAATTGAATTTATTATGTCTTTCTTTTTTTCTGAAATAATCATAGTTAAATTTTGATCTTTCTGATGCTAATTTGCATATTCTCATATTTTTTACCACAAAAATTTTACAGTATCGTTTCTCAATGACACATATATCAAATTCGGTTCTTGCTGGTGGTATTGCTATTGGTACTGTTGCAAATATTATTTTGGAACCATTTTATGCTCTTTTGGTTGGCTGTTGGGCGCTTTAGTCTCAGTTCTTGGCAACAATTATATCAGGGTTTTGTTTCTATATCAAAATATAATTGAATATAAAAATGAAATTGATTATAACGTTATTTCATAATATTCAAAACTTTCCTAACCATTATATACTGTATGCGCTAATATCACAAAAAAAAAAAATAATAATAATAATAATTTCATTCAACATCTGATATAATTTTAGCCGCTTGGAGCTCGAGTTTTTGGACTTCATGATACACGTGGTGTTGGATCAATTCATGGATTACCTGGTAACAATTTGATTTTAATCAAGTTTTTTGCAAATTCATAAAATTTTAGTTGGAATAAACTTTGAAATAAATGATATATACTAAGTTTAAGAAAAAAAATTTTTTTTTCTTCAAAATATTCAACTAATTATCATTAGATAAAAGGTTTCATTGATAATTAATCATTAAAAAAAAAAAAAAAAATTGATGAACCACTTATTTACTAATAAAATTAGTGGAGTATTTTGAAGAAAACAATGAAATAAACGAATGATAAAGTGATATTTAAAATGAATCAATCCATTTTCAGGTATTCTGGCTGGTATTCTTGGTTTCATTTTTACGGCTGTATATGAACCAACTCGTTATGGAACTGGGTTAATTACCATATTCATACTAATTATTAATTGCTAATTGTACATAAATTAATGAGTAATTTAATATTTAAGAACTGAACAATTTATAACATATTTAGGTTTAGAAATAAGAAAAAAGTCATTAAAATTTGGGTAATTTTTAAATCCAAATAATCTTGTAATATTTCAATGATAATTTGCATAATTACAGCAATATAACCCATATTTATCCAGCAATGAACAGCAATGATGAAAGTCGTGAAATATTTGTACAGGCTGGTTATCAGCTTGCAGCGCTTGCAATTGTCCTGATAGTTTCGATCATTGGCGGTGCTGTCACTGGTAAATTCTTTTCTTTTTTTTTCCTCCTAATATTACAAAGCGATCATTACACAAATTTATAGTCTTTTTTTTTTTAGGATTAATCTTAAAATTGAATTGCTTCAATCGTATTCATGAAAAGGAATACTATTCGGATGGCGAATTCATCGAACCACCAGAGGATTATGATTTCACCACTAGGGTAAAACTTATTAAAAGAGTACTGTAATTCGGCTATATGATCATACTGTAGTGAACTCAGCTACTTAACTAATTATCTCTAAAAATAACCTATAATTATCCTATATATCTACCGTATTTGATTAAAATATTACTAATAATAGGTAGTCATGGAAACTTGTAATAATTCATTGTATAAGAAAAGAAAAAAACACTTTTGCAGATCATCTCAAAAATCGATCACATTGAATTAACCGAACATACGGCACTTAATAAAGAATCGACAACTTCTGTTGGACCAAGCAATCCTTGAGAAGAATTCATTAACAATGAATGTGATTCATTAATTATTTCATTATGACCTCTGCAATATCCTGTTTACTTTAAGGATAAACAATAATTTTGCAGGAGAAAATAATTTACTATTCAAATTTTAGCTTTAATTCAGAACTGTGTGACCTGTCTGTCATATTTAATTCCATCCAAATATCATATTTCTACTTTCTTGCTCTTTCAAACTTTTTTCAAATTTAATCAAATATCTTAAAAGATATTTGATTTATTTAAAATTTCAAACAGATATATTACCGTAAACAATTGCACATTTAACTTTTAATAATAAGTTTCTAACAATACTAAAATTCTCACATTTTATCTTTGTTAAGATAGCAATTAGTTTTGCTTCAAATTCAATATTTTTAAATGTAATTTAACTTTCCTTTCATCCATATAATTCAACAAGAAATTAATCTTTGACCTGGAAATCTTTGACCTTATTTTAAAGCTTAAATTAACATGGAATCTGATGGTTTATTTAGCTTTTTGGCTTAATTGGCACTCTGATAGCTAATTGGCATTGGAAACGCAATTTCTGATTAATGCTCACTTACAATTATGAAGTCACGGAATAGTTATGAAAATTTTCTTAGACTATTAATACATTTCATATTGGAAATGTGCTTTATTTTTTATGGATCTATAAATTGTCCTTTAAATCTCTTCCAAAGAGATGACATGTATTTTCTAAAAATAAGCTTGAATTCAAATCAGGCTTTACCTGAGCCATATGAGATTCAGAAAGAATATTTTTTAAAATTAATTTTAATTATTTTGCTTTTTTTTTCTTGCATAAATAATTCGATGCGAAATTAATCCCATTCTAATTAATTGTTTTCTGTTACTTTTGTTTTGATGTATGCTCATTTCATACCTCTTTTGTTTCCTCTCATCTTATTTATCTTTTTTTGCACTGAAAGAAATTGTTTAATGAACTGCCTAAATTACTATTTTCTTTTTTTTGTGTGAAGCAAAATAAAATGGGACAATGGGACATTTTAGAAATGATAAGATTGTTCTATTTTCCTTTTCCCCCATTTATCCATCATCCTATAAATTGATATTAAATCCTTTTGAGATATTAAAAAAAAGAAATTTATCCTCTCTTCTATCTTTTACAGAAAGGATGTTGATTTGTCTATAAAAGTTTTATCCTAATCCATAAGCTAATATTAGCTTTTCAACAATCACTAATACTTTTGATCCTACTATCATCCCTTAAAATCATATTTAAAAAAAAAAACAAATTTTGATTCAGATTAAACTTTTTTATAAACTTACTACTTCAACAGTAGCAATAAATCGAAACAATTTACAAAATTCTGAATTATATCAACCTAACATCTCTATTATTACAATCAAATCTTATGTGGAAAATATACAATCTTATCCAGAAAGACAAATTGTCACTTCTGTACCATTCCCATTGTCCATTTATTATTAAGAATGTGACCTGCTCTAACAGTAACTTTTGAATTTCAATTTACATTTCAAAAAAAAAAAGAAAGGTCATATTTCATCGCTCAAATTCATCACATCATCAACATTCCTAAGATGACAATGTCAACAGCATCACATTTAGCGATTGCTGTTTCCTGTGGCTTTATTTTCTTCGTTTAAAGAAGTGACAAGCGAAAGAAATGAATGATTGAAAATATTTTGCAGTCAAAAAAGAAAAAGTGAATATTTGAAATGTGATACATAATGATCAAAAAGTTGGTGACAAGTTCGATAATTGTCGTTGTTATTCTCTAAAGAGTAATAAAAAGGGTAAAATAAACTTGTTTTTGATGATAAAACAGTGTAGCGCATTAATTTTATAGGTAAAAGCAGGTATTATTTATATAAAAGTGCAGAATAGCTAGAGACAAATTGCACTACAAATGATATCAATAACATGCGACATACCTGCGACAATATTATTTACATTTTCAACAAATTGTGCAAAAATGAAAAGATGATGAATTATACTTTGAATGTTGCAAATATGAATATTTGAATAGATCCTCTCTAAAAATTCATTCATTTTAGGTGATATTTTATTGTATTTACAATGAAAGACAAATAATCACATACCAATATATCGAAAATGATACAAGTCGTGTCAACTACTCTATTTGACAATTGCAAAATTTATTCAGCTGATTTATTGGTTACTTTATCATCCGTTTATTTAATAATATCTATTTTGCAAAATTATTCATTACATTTTTATCTAATCCATTTGTAAACGTATTAAAATATAAAAGATGATAATATATTAATCAATCTTATCTTTTAAAAGTGCAATCTATTGATTGCAATCTATTGATTGCATTTTTAAAACATTGTTATCAAAAGTAAGTATTGTTATCAAAAGTAAGTGTTGTTATCAAAAGTAAGTATTGTTGTCAAAAGTAAGTATTGTTATCAAAAGTAAGTATTGTTATCAAAAGTATTGTTATCAAAAGTAAGTGTTGTTATCAAAAGTATTGTTATCAAAAGTAA